AGGTACATTTGTCGGGGGTGGGGGTGGCAGGAGACTCTGGGAAGATGGAAAATCCCTGGCATGAGGCTGGAGAGAGCTGGAGAAGCTCACATTGGAGCATTATTCAGGTGGAACCATATGAACTTGCCAGCATTAGACTGTTTTGACATAACAACAACACTTTGCTATGGTTTAAATGACATTTCCAGGTGACACAGCAGTGACGAATGAGCAGCCATGAATAACCACGAAATCAGAATCTATTAGCATCGCGCTGCTGCTGTGATGTGCATTTCCCACTCTCCACTGTGATCTCTCTAAGGGCCCAGATTGCTGCTGTGTCTGGGGAGATTCTGGGGATGCACGAAGTGACACAGTCTTGGCCACCAAAGGTAGAGTGGGGGTGAGAAGATGGAGCCGCAGGACCATCACCGGGAAGGAGCTTCGATAAGAATGACAGGAAAGGCCCCGTCCTGTCCTGAGCACCAAGTGCCAGCCTCTGGGCCTTGTCCCGCACATGAATTTTCTCTACACCACCAGGCCCAAAGTGCGTCTTTTCATCCTCACTTTACATACGGAGACTCCAGCGCTCAGGGAGGCTCCATTCCTTCCTTGCAATGAGGCAGAGGGAAGGGGCGATCCTGTGATTTCCTTGGACACCGCCCTCCAAGCGCCTCAAGGGAGTGACCACAGGTGGAACTCGAAGGGACCTGACCACCACCAGCTGGTGCTCAAAAGTTATTGCCGGGAAGACAAAAGACCAGAGAGTAGGTATGGCCCAGAACTGATCCAGAGTCCAACATGGTGGCTTTTTAATAGTTTTTTTTTTTTAATTTTTTTTTAAGATTTATTTATTTATACAAGCACTGGGTACAGTCAGAAGCACGGGAGGGTGAGAGAATTCACCAGAGCCAGAGCAGGGAGCAGAACAGGAAGACTGACGAAGTACACTGCTGAGGGGAGCAGCGGGTGGCAGGAGAGGTCTGCGCACCATGTGGGACCCTCACCTGGTAGCCGGGGATCGAACCGGCGCTGCAGAGGCTGCAGGCAGCTTCGCAGCCCAGTGCTCAACCGCTGTGCCACTGGGGAGGCCCTTTTAAATAGTTTTGATTGCAATAGAAAGGAGAAAGAGGAGACGGTGGAAGATGGGCATGGGGCAGGTGAGTAGTACCCGGTAAGCAGGTTGGCTCTATAGTTTGACTCTGTTCACTGTGGCAAGAATAATGTACGTTCTGCTGAGAAAGTTCCCTCAGGACAACAGAACATGTGAGCATGGGAAAGTCTGCAGACCTCATACAACGAAAACATCTTCCTTGATTTATTCTCTTAAAAATAAAAAACAAGGCACGGGCCTCTCTCGTGGCGTAAGGGGTTGAGATGCAAGCTATGAAGTTATCCGCAGCCACCGCAGCACAAGTTCGATGCCCGGCCAGGGAGCTACCCACATGGCTCAGCAGACCTCTCCTGTCTCGCCTGCTGCTCCCCTCAGCAGTGTATTTGTCAATCCACCTGTTCTTCTCCCCACCCTGTCTCTGGAGACTCCTCTCACACCCCCATACCTCTGGCCTGTGCCCCAGTTCTTATATGCATACATAAATAAATCTTAAAAAAAAAACGTACAAGGGACTAGGGTGATGGTACACGGGTGAATGGGTGGTGGGAATTTCACAGGGACTATGACTGAGATGATAAAGCATACATTGTACAAAAATGAAGGATTATGTAAAAAATACATAAAATAAAAATTAAAAAAAAATGTACCTAGAAAGGAATATGGAACCAAGAAAGTACAATATCAAAATTTGAACACTCACTAAGGGAGTGTTCTCACCAGGAAATGTTAGGTTAGACCACATTTTTGCCCCTGGAGTGGTGGCCAGTTGGGGTGCTGTGAGTTTCCGTGGTCTGGAAATTGGAAGCCACCCAGCACACTTGAGCACACAGTGGAGCAGCACCCCAGGGGCCCATGTGGGCGAGACAGAGAATTGGTATATCAGCCAAACGGTCTGTTCTAGAAGCCATCTTCCCCTGTGTCTTTTTACTTGTTTCTCCTCTCCCACATGCTGAGAGTGAAGACAAGGGTTCTTTCTGTTAAAATTGTGCACAGGGCACTCATTGTGACCTTTCCAACCATGAGCAGCAGCCTTCCCTACTCTTGATTTTTAAAGGGTTTTCTACCCCCTCCCCATAAAACACACACACACAAAAACAGTGGATGTGCTTTCTTTAAAGATCTCACTTTAGCATTTAGAGCCCAGTGACCAGCTACTCAGTCCTTTCACAGGAAACATGATTTTTCATAAGAACGTGATTTTATCTTTGTAAGAAACATGATTTTTTTATAGTTTGAAAGAAAAAACAACTTTTTTGGGCCTCCCTGGTGGCGCAAGGAGTTAAGCACCACACTATGAAGCAATCCGCAGCCTCTGCAGCACGAGTTCGATCCCCAGCCGGCCAGGGAGCAACCCACATGGCTCAACAGACCTCTTCTCTCTCGCCCGCTGCTCCCCTCAGCAGTGTATTCCACTCAGTCTGCCTGTTCTGTTCCCCACTCGTCTCTGGTGGATTCTCTCACCCCCCCCATCTCTGGTCTGTGCCCCAGCTCTTGTATGCATAAATAAATAAATCTTTAAAAAAAAAACAACTTATTTTGTAGGAGCAAAAGAAAGTCCTCTCTGTGGAGCAGAATTCATAACTTTTCATCTTTCCAATGGAAAACACTGCAACAAATACATGAACCACTCAGGGTGTCTTCTTTCTTCTAGCAGCTGCGCCAGTAGCTGTATCCAACTACAAAACACTTCCTGAAAATATTTTCTTGATGACTGGAATGATTTTTAAGAGTCGCAATGCGTGAGCTTTTCTCGAATACCTTTTCAGTTCATTTTTTTGGCTCTGAGTTATACACTGATGGGTAATTGGAATATGATATTTTCAGCACATCTTCAAAAACCATCAAAGAGGTAAAACAGTTGATATACACCACATGACCAAGCATTTCATTCATGTTGATCTGTATTTTAATTTAATTTAAAATTACTGGTGATAAAGTCTGGCATTCTCCCGACACCCAGGGCAATTAAGGTGGGGGTATCCAGTTCCCATTCATCAGCTGCTAGACAGCCACTCAACAACAAGACATTATTGGACAGGCTAACATGGCCTTACACATGGTATTCTTTTTTCACTGTTTGCATTTCCCTCTCCCTGCTGGCAGCTCATTGTTGAATGTAATAAAAGCTGGTATTTGGCAATGTAGTTTCAGAGACTCCAAGTTTAATTCACTTTCCTGAGATCACATGGTCTCAAGATGTAAGAATAATTTTTGGTTGGTGGAGCGTGTGTCTGAGCTCAGCTAGGGCAGATCCTGGGCCCCCAGGATGGAGGGACAAGTGGAGGCAGGAGGGGAGGAGCTCGGGTCTATTTTGTGGAAGGTTGTCCAGGTCCCGCTGCGTTGTGGAGCTAATATCCAGCTCAACCTCAGATCATCTCCCTTGCTGCTGGTCTGAAACACCTAAGACTTTAATCTTTTAAATTGCTTTTATCAGAACCATTTATGGTTTTGAGTCTTTTGTGCACAAGGCATGTTTCCAAGGCCCCTGGGCTCCATTGCTAGTGATCAGTAGCTCAAGCCAGAGAAGAACCTTGCTAAATTGTGCATGGGGGGAGGGAGGGGGTCAAGAGCCTGGCCACTCCAGTGGATGCTTGTGGTTGGCCTGGCCTGGCCTGGCTCCCACACAAACATGCCCTGGAGGCTGGGTAAAGATACAGCTGGCCAGAGGCTCCCGTGCCTCATCTACTGAAGCCAGCGATGCAGGTGGCTCAGGGACTGCTGTCCAGCCCAAGGGAACGCTGCTCAGGTCCAGGTGCTCGGCCCAGAGAGAATGTTCCCTATTGAAATCGCGTCGGGAACACGGCCCTTCAAAGCCAGTCGCTGTGGGTCCTTCTGTTATTTGGAAAAGACCATGTCAAATGTCTAACAAAAGTGTTTAAACAGTCCCTCTCCTTTTTGGTGATTTGTGTAGAAAAAGAAGGGTAAATGTGTCTGTCCTTGGTAGAAAAAACTTACATATTCCAGGACCATCATTTATTCTTACACAATACTTATGGAACATAGCACTGGGTGCAGCTGAGTAACATTTGAAAATTTAGTTAAAAGTTAACAATAGGGCGTTCTTTGGTTTGAAATCCCTTTGATTAGAAAAGTGGTTTGTATTTTAACACAGAATTTAAGACAAGAGTGTGGGCAAAATGGAGATAATGAAACATCTCTAACAACAGTGTTGCTAAAATTCCTCAGAACCTAAAAGAAAACAGAATTCTTCCTGTTAGGTCTACAGAGTAAAACACAAATTGAATTCTTTTAAGTTTAAAAAAATATTTAATTAGAAAGACATGGGTTTTCGTCCATTAATTTTAATGAATGCACTTATTTACATGAAAATAAACACTTTGTAATACTGACTTTAGTCTTCTTTTTAGAATTTACTTTCAAAACAGGTATAACTCAGCTACACATTCAATCATATAAAACACACTGTTTTCTGTAACGTGGTAAATATTCGCCTTGTCTTGCTGAATTGCAGGCTGTGTCCCAGCCTTCCATTGTAAGCTCCTTTCTGTAGGAGATTCATTTAAAATTTTATTACTGTGTAGCTCACACAATGGAATAACAGTGTTAATAACTTGATACTGTAGCTGCAGGATTGGCGACCTACTCTTAGGAAGTTAAGGCCCCAGGGCCAGAGGCTGCTCATTTATTTCCCCATATTTAAATCAATTGTGGGGGCATTCAGACAATAAATTGCGTGTCCATCTCCGGTAATAAAATTGGCACGTCAAACAGTAGAAGCTTGTGTGGTAATTCAGCCGCTCCCCCTCCTGGGGTCGGTTCTTCTTTGTACCGTCTTCTGCAGGGAAGGCCCAGCGAGTGCAAGTAAAGTAATATTTTGTCTTGTTAAACTCTCTCTGTTTCACTGGGATAGTCAAGTCCAACTTGTCCAGCTCCTGCAAAGCTCCCACTTACTGCTGGGGGGAGATTCTTTTGTCTGGGGAGCGGAACAAGATAACCGACTTAATCTTCCTAGTAACACGTGAGTCGCCATGTATCATTTTAATCTGCAAAACACTAGGGCTGAGTAGTGTCACATGCTGATTTTACTTTTCTATGAGAAAGTGACTCCCCGGTTCAATGATGGATTGCTTGTTCTCTTTAAACAACAGTCAAGATGGTGAATGCCCGGGGGTGACAGACAGAGTGTGCAATGGGGTGGGGGCCAATCTGATGGCCCAGTTCAAGTTCACCTGACAAAGCTGGAGCAGTCTGCAAGCAGCATTCGAGAAAGGATTATTCACACTGGCATTATAGTTTTGAATGCATTTTTCTCCTCGTGCAGCTGCAAAGCTCCTTCTCACTGAAGGTTTATGCACCATAATAAAGAGATTTACTCTTTCCCCTCTCTTGCTTCTTACACTTTACACCTACTTTCTACTGAGCTCTTCAGACAGAGGACATCTGTATATCCAGATCACAGAGAACAAACATCATCTTCAAAACAATAGCAGGGCTAACAGGCAGCAACAAAGACCTGACATTTCTGATGGCTGAAGGGACAAAAATGAAGTCTCTTAAGTTGAGACTTTGCTTTTTAAATATTGCCATTTCACACAGCTCTGTGTGCAAAAAGTAAAATAAAAAATTTAGCTCAATTTAGAAAAAGGATAATGAAAATTCTCCCAATATCCATTTTCTGTGTGAAATAGAAGTTAAAGAGAGGGAGAAGGAGATTAGAAATGTTTTTAGAGAAAGAAACAAAATAATTTTCTTTATAAATTGGAGGTGGCAGATGGAAGTTCTTTTTCTTTCCTTCTGACTTTCTCTCTTTCTACCTACCCACTGTCTGCCAACACCCCTTCCTTTTTACAGCAGGGTTTTCTGAAGCCTGAAGACCTCAAATAGTCTTTGCTTCTGATACCGAGGCATGAATCCTCATCCAATTTTGCCAGATGTAGCAAAAATTATCTAGTAAGCATTTACCCAGCATCTAAAATACACATACTTATCATTGATGTCTCACTATTCATTCACTCATTCATTTTCTTATTTAAACCAAAATGAACTAAGCAGATGCTGGGGGTATCAAGAGGTGGAAACCTGGTTCAGGCTATTGTAGTGAAATAGATGCAGTTCCATGACAGCCTCCACGATCCCCACCTCCTGGGGCTCCCGGGAGTCCCCTCCCCAGTATGCAGACCTGGTCTGTGGGACTAAAGTATATAGAAGAGGTGATGGTGTATCATGAAGCTGCCATGTTGTCAAATGGGCAGCCCCCGCATCAGCAACTCAGGCCTCTGACCAACACTTTACACCTAGTTGCTACTAAGCTGTTCACAGAGAACATCTGTATCCAAACCACACAGAACATACATCATCTCAAAACCTTTCCATCACTTTCCAGCCAGGAAAGGGATCCTGCCAGTGATCTCATAAGAGAGCTTGGAAGACAGCCCCAGCCCCAGTCAAGCCTTCAGATGACTGCAGCCCCAGCTGACATCTTTAGTCTGTTCTTTTTTGTATGTATATAAAACATAAACATTTAAAAAACTGGATACTATGAACATTATATAAAATATAAATGTATACCAACTTAAACAAAAATAAATGTATGAGACATCCAGGGCAACAATAACCAACAATTTCTGGGCAGTGATTGCTTTTGGAATAGAGAAGGAAGTAGAAGGCAGGGATGGAGCTAGTAGAGGCTTCAACACTAATAATATTTAATTCCTTAATCTAGAATTTGGATCTATGGGTGTTGGTGTAAATAAGTAACAGTTTAAAGAGTTCTTAAAATGTAACTACCTGCAAACTCCTGTCAGTATTATTCTTGCTGAGTTACAAAACTGAAATATGTGTTGTTTCAAAGCCTTTACTCCTCAAATCCCTGACTTGCTAACTTCACCTCACACAGCAGCTATCCAAGTTTTTGACTTCACAGAGGAAGGTGTTCTGACATATGACTTCCATCAACTTCCTTCTCCAGCACCTTAATTTCTGATTTTTTCACCTATCGTTGATACCTTCCTTTCTGTTTTGGTAGAGATATTCATATGCATAAATGTAAGATCCTGACCTTTATTCTGTAAACATTTTCTTTTCTTCTCAAATCTTACTGATTCACTAACCATTTACACAACTGTATGATTTGCGGAGTACAACTTCACCCTCCCTGTGCGCACACACCTCATTCACCCTTCAACAAAGCTTCAGTGCCAATACCCCATCCTTTTCCCTCCCCACCTTGACCTTCCTCACCCTTCCCTCTGGTAATCAGCACATTTTTCACAGACTTACCTACATTCTTGATTCCACCTTCTACAATAAGGATTGATAGAGCTTTTCTTTAAAGGGCCAGAGAGTGTATATTTTTGGCTTTGGAGACATACAGACTCTGATAAAATGGCTCAGTTCCACCAATATAACCCCAAACAGCCACAGTCAATACGTGACTCAATGACTATGGCTCTGTTCCAATAAAACTTTATTAACAAAAACAGATGGCCATTTGGCCAATAGGTCATTGTTCACTAACAATTAGTCTACAGCATTCAAATGTGTCAAATAATCACTGCTTTTCTGGCTGTCAGCAATCAATCTCTTTTTACTGTTCTCAGACTCTCACTTAATACACATTTTATTTCTTCTGGGCTGTTCTGCAGGATTCCATAATGTTGAACACTATTCCTTACATATTTTTCTGATTAGTTTGACACAAATCATGTTTTTCATCACCTCCAAATACCCATTCATGGGAATTTCCTTTGCATTCTCCCCGTTAAATAATCTTAAACTTAAAACATTTTTTTGTGGAGTTATAAAAATATATACAAAAGGGGAAAGACTAGTACAATGAATCTCCAAGTACTCATCTCCCTGCTCCAACATTATCCAGAAAGAGCCAAACTTCTTTTACTTTTTCCTCCACTAATTTTTGCCTTTTGTATTTCTTTAAGATATTGCTTCACTAAATTTACCTAACACTCAGTATACACTAAAGGTCCCTGATTGTCTCTAAAATGTTGTTTATCCTTGATTTATTATCCCACTTTTGGGGTGAAAGTATTGAGGGCTAAGTAGCATTAACCTGACTCTTCCATTATAAAGTTCCCTGTTTACTATTCTGCTAATAGTATTAGTAACTATCCATCATTTTTGTCCAAGTTAATTATTTCAATAAGGACAACACCAATAGTATCCATCTCGATGAATGGTGACAGAAAAACTCTAAAATCTCAAGCTTTTAAACCAGAAGTTTGCTTTCAGCTGTGCTTTGTGTCTGTCATGGTCTGTCCTGGTCTGCTTTGGGTCTGTCATAAGCCCTCACTGCAGGGCTTATGCTGATAACAGCTAGCAGCACCCTGACACTTTCTGGGTACCTATGGCAGAGACTCACAGAGCCCTGACCAGAACCAGTCTCCTGGTGCCATCTAAGCCCAAAAAGACCAGGCAGTGCCAAGTCCTGGGTCCCTGGAAGGAAAGAGAACCGGACATCAAAAATAGCACAAGTTACCTCCACAGAGTCTAGAACTTAAGTAGCTTCTCAACTGAAGGTCTTGTCAAAGAGAGACGATGGCATATTTCATTACATTCCACATGCTGGTGATTAAAGAAGTAAAAAATCCCCCTCTTTCCAAAATTGGTAGTGACATCTTTCTGCTCCACAGAGTGGATCTGGGGGTCTGTGAGGTAGATGAGCCCTTTTCCGTTTCTTGTCACCCAACCTAAAAGGAAATCGACATGTCTGAGAATTTAGTCCTCTGTGTAAGTTGGTGAGCTGTTTCAGAAAAAAAAAATGTATATATCCTAAAGAGACATGTTAAAAACCTGGTTGTTCTGTGATCTTATTAAGTTTTGCCAAGGGATTTGACATTTCATGTTCTAATTACTGATTTAAGAAGGAGAGTTGAATCACTTGTAATCAGGGAAATGCAAATCAAAACTACCATGAGATACCATCTCACACCAGTGAGAATGGCACATATTAAAAAAATTAGCAACAACAAATGTTGGTGAGGATGTGGAGAAAAAGGAACTCTCCTGCACTGCTGGTGGGAGTGCAAACTGGTCCAACCACTATGGAGAGCTGTGTGGAGATTTCTGGACCTACTAAACATAGAGCTTCCATAGGATCCAGCAATCCCACTCCTAGGTATTTACCCAAAGGACACAGAAACATCAGTTCCAAAGAGCACCTGCACCCCTATGTTGATAGCAGCACTGTTTACTATAGCTAAGCTTTGGAAACAGCCCAGATGCCCAAAAATAGATGACTGGATCAAGAAGATGTGGTACATATACATCATGGAATATTACCCAGCATTCAAAAAAGATAAACACATGCCATTTGCAGCAACATGGATGGCGCTGGAAGGGATCATGCTCAGCGAAATAAGCCAGAAAGAAAAAGAAAAATACCGGATGGTCTCACTCATAGCAGGAATCTAGAGAACTTAAATAAGGGACCAGGAAAATGAATAACTATAAGAAAGTGAAAATCAAAATCAACAAAAAACTATGAACCAGAGACACTCTATGGGGGGTGGGGGGGTAGGGAAAGGAAGGCTTGGGGTAAAAATAAGGGGGTTGTAATTGTATGGGGAATATAAAAATAAAATTTAAATTTAAAAAATCATCAAAAAAAGGAGAGTTGAATATTAGGTAATTAAATTTATCAACTAGAACATACACAGATCATCAATTTTCAAAGAATTAGAGAGCAATAGGATATACTTAGTATTATTACTACAATCACAATATTGAATGTTTCTTTCATAATTCAGAGGTTTCCTTAGTACCTTACTCAATAACATAGATAATCATCTGTTCATTTAACAAATATTTACTGAGCCACATGCAGTATAAAATACTGACTTGGGTCCTAAAATACTGAATATGTTCCTAAAATATCTCTGCACTCATTGAGCTAACATTCTTGTGAAGGGGGACAGATTAATAAACCATGTAAGTAGGAGAACTACATAATATGACAGGGATGGTAAGCGCTGTGGAAGAGGGGATAGAAGAACTTACAGGATGGTTTTGGAATCATTACTAGAGATAATTATAACAAATCTCCTATCGTTTAAATGAAGCATAACATATTGGCTAATGATTCTGACAAATAAAATGCCTGATGAACTGAAATAGAATTAAAACATTAATCCTGATTTTAAAAGAAGTCAGAATGAAGTACACACCACTTTCTGTTCATGATATCAATTATAAAACCCAATCTCACACTTGTAATAAAGGCAGTGGCTTGAGAAAGGAAATTATGCAAAGATCTGACACATGAAAATAAAATGCAACGATAACAAAGTTTCATCCCTCAAACTGACTTGAATGGAATAAAAAAGCTGTCTTGGATTCTTTCTAGAAATAATCACAACAGGCTGTGAGTCACATCTTCTCGCTGATTATGTGACCCCTTAGTTAGTTATAGAAACTTCTGATACTTTTTTCAGGCATCATTTGCTAAATCAATAAAATCACTTAATTTCAAATAGTTGAGTAGTTGACGCACTAAACACTCTACTAGATACAGGACTAGTAGAGCTACTCACAAAACCTCACATTGACATAGAAATTATACTGAAAGTGAAAAACCATGTCCCGTTTCACGTACCTTGTAAATCGACCACAATATCTTTGTGATTGGAAAACTCATAGGAAAAATGTCCGTAAGCCAAGCCATAGTCAGTGGCTTTGTATTCTGTTTTCACCACTTTTGTGTTATTTGATAACTTCACAAATTCTCCGAGTATGTAAGGTTCCACACTGATACATCCCTTTATTGTACTGCCTTCCAAAATCTGAAAATAGACGGGGGAGGTGGTAGAACAGAAGGTCAGTCTGTAGACAGTGCAATGAGGCAGATGTTTGAACTGAGACTATGTCACTTAGGAATTTGTGATTTCTATAGATTTTAGTTCCCTCATTCGTAAAGTGAGTATTATAGCAGTTGCCTCATAGGACTGTTCAAAGAATTCGATGAGAAAATCCTTATAAGGTGTGTAACACTGTATGCGGCATATAATAGAACCTAAAATTATTATTTTGTTAAAATATTGACACGAAGATTAGGCCTTAATGGGTGAGGGGGAGCTGGCTAGGGATATGGACATATCAGGTACCTGGACTCTGGTAATATAGGAGCTGTCTTGTATTGTTTCAAAGGTTAGAGTTAATGTTGGTGAAATGTCTGGCTTCGTGCTAGACATAAAGAAGGTACAAAATGGATGACAGCTATTCTAAGTAATAAAATATGGGTGTAAAAATATCTCCATCCAAAGTTAAAAAAAATCCACTTAGGTGTGCATTAGCCTTGAATTCAACATATTTGGTGAAGTAACTTAGTCTAAGCCACTGAAGAACAAAGTGTGTGTGTGTGTGTGTGGGAGGGGAAAGGATTGCCTTTATATATATACTTTTTAAAAGATTAATTTATTTATGTATACAAGTACTGGGGTACAGGCCAGAGGTGCAGAGGGTGAGAGGATTCACCAGAGACAGAGTGGGGAGGAGAATAGGCAGACTGACTGAAATACACTGCTGAGGGGAGCAGTGGGCGAGTCAGGAGAGGTCTGCCGCACCATGTAGGTAGCTCCCTAGTCAGGGATCGAATTTGTGCTGCAAGTAGCTGCAGATTGCTTTACAATGCTAATGCTTAACCCTCTGTATCACCAGGGAGGCCCCAGGATTGCCTTTATATATTTAACCAAATTTTTTAGTGAAGAGAGATGGGTCACAGTGCTCCCAGAAGACAAAGTTGTAACCCATAGGTAGTAAGAGGAGAAAGACAGATTTGGACCAAATGTAAAAACTTCCTAACAATTAGAATTATTTGAAGGTGAAAAAGGTGACAATTACTTTGTTCTCACTAAAGGTGTTTAAGCAATGGCTTAGTGATTATCTGGCTGCAAGGGTGGGGGCCAACAGGATTGATGCATCATATTAAGGGGATAATTTTCATTAGGCATGAACTTTAGGGTTCTCTCTCTCTGAATGTACATAGAGAATCCAAAAGAGAAGTATACAAAAGATGCTAACTTAATATGTTGGGCCAGATACCAGGATCAATAGATATTCATAGGTGACTTTGAAGATCTAAATCACACCTTCTTCAGCTATCGAAATAGAGAAGCAGATTGAGGAATCTGGTAACTGAGTTTATTGGGGTTTATCAGAATGATGATAGATGGCGGGGATTTGGCCACAGAAATCTAACCAAATACATATTTACAAGCTTGTTCAATCAAACCCTTGCTTTCTTCAATCTTACCAGCAAGATGGTGGATGGGATGTAGAAAATCTGTGTCGGAATCTTTTGTTCATAAAGTCTCTTGTTAAATTCTGTCACATAGTACTGTGCGGTCATCTGGCGCTCCACATCGGCGAAGTGGTGCAAGAGCCCCTTCTGCTCCTTGTATTCTTTCCCAACATATCTACACATGAAGGAAAACCACACAAATACATGCAAAGCTATTCTTACAATGGAGAAAGAGAGAGATCAAAAGATATTCAAAAGTACTCAAAAGGGCCTCCCCGGTGGCGCAGCGGTTGAGCGCTGGGTTGCGAAGCTGCGCGCGGCCTCTGCGGCGCCGGTTCGATCCCCGGCTGCTCCCCGGCCACCAGAGGAGGGTCCCACATGGCGCGCAGACCTCTCCTGCCGCCCGCTGCTCCCCTCAGCAGTGTACTTCGGTCCTTCTGCCTGCTCTGCTCCCCGCTCTGGCTCTGGTGAATTCTCTCGCCCTCCCGCGCTTCTGACTATACCCAGTGCATGTATAAACAAAACAAAACAAAAGAAACCAGCAAACAAATAAATAAAGCATGCCTCTATTAAAAAAAAAAAAAAAAAAAAAAAAAATTAAAAAAAAAAAAAAAAAAAAACAAAAGTACTCAAAAGATATTTTCTTCTTGGCCTTTGATAGTGAATATTAATTACCTGATGAATCAAGTATTTCATGGGGGGCCTCCCTGGTGGTGCAGGGGTTAAAGACACAGTGCTATCATCAAGCTATCAGCATGAGTTTGATCCCTGGCCAGGGAGCTACCCACATGGTGCGGCAGACCTCTCCTGTCTCACCTGCTGCTCCCCTCAGCAGTGTATTGCATTGGATCTGCCTATTCTGCTCCCCACTCTGTCTCTGGTGATTCCTGTCACCCTCCTGCACCTCTGGCCTGTACCCCAATTCTTGTACACATAAATAAATAAATTAAAAACAACAACAACAAATATTTCAGGGGCCACCTGAGCAATGGAACTCAATTTATTGAGCTGACTGTGACAATTAATTTGTGTCTTCCTGATTGGTCATGGGTAGCCCAGATACTGGGTCAAACATTATTCTTGTGGTGTGCGTATGTTTTTGGATAAAATGAACATGTTAATCAACATTGAGTAAAGCAAATGGGCTCTTATAATGTTGGTGGGTTCCATCTAATCAGTTGAAGGGCTGAATAGAGCAAACAGGCTGACCCTCCCCCCCGAAAAGTGAGAGAATTACTCATGCCTGACTTGGAGTTGAACTGAAATATGGGGTTCTTTCTGGAGCTCCGGCTTATTGACTGCGATTAATTTCATTGACAAATGAACCAATTCCAGATAATAAATCTCTGCTTGTATGATTACTATCCTATTTGTTCTGTTTTTCTGGAGAACACTATACATCCTGAACCAGGGTGATATTCATTATAAAGAAAAAGTGTCCACTTAAAGTAGTAGTTCACCAGATGTGTGTGTTAAGGGTTCAGTATTCACTTGTGTCCCTGGATGTGCTGTATCCTTGGCTTGAACCTCAGAGGATTTTCATGCCATTTTTTTCAGTCTCGTCCATATACTTAAAATTAGAGCTTTTATTTTTAGTGAGAATATTCATTAAGGCCCTCTGACTGGTCATATTTTTCTTATCTGTAAAATGGGGAGAGACTAATGCTTCCACAATGAGTTTGAAACCAACATCCAGTTACATGACTGATATAATATGGTCTTTAATCAATGGTAAGTGCTATTAATGAATGAGAAGGGAAAATAGTGGAAATAGTAAAATGTACATTCTGTTTACATTTTTCAGCTCTTTCAAACCATACCTCCCCAGAATTTCTTCCTGATGAAGATGATGAACCCAAAAAGCATTTCTTTGTCTGCCTTTCTTCTTCACATTCAGGTAGTCCCCCAAATATACAATAGTTTCCTGGGCTGTCCACAACTCAGATTTCTTGGAATATTTTAACATAAGAGCATCTGGAAAAAAGGATGAGGTGAAAGTGAATGTTACTGTCAAGAGAGAATATTACAATTCATGAATAAAGTAGACGTAACATAAGTCTTAATCCATCTCATCTAAAATCTTTTCCTTCCTCATATATATTCTTAAATTTGAGCCTCTTCTATGATACTGCTAAAAAGTCAGTGAAACACAACAAAAAGTAAAGCTTTACAAATATAATGAAGAATAATCTCTGGCTCACAAAATCATTTAGGAAAGTAGTGAAAAATAAACAGCCTTTTAAACAGCAAAAACCCACACACCATCTTTGAAAATCTGATATATCGAGCCCATATATTACAGGCCACTACTTATAACAGGTTGCACAGACAGAAATAAATTAATTTATCCTGAGAGGTTCCTGGCAACGCCTATATTACATATTTTAGTGCATCCTAAAAGTCTCTTGTTTTAAATTGAACAAATGCAAGAATTACTTGAGAAAATATAGTGACTTCATAAAGACGCGAATTCAACTGAAAAAGGGAAAGAGAAGAGGGGAAGTTTAAGGGCTGTGTCCAGCTTAAAGAAGGGAAGAAAAATGAAGGCAGAAAGCATTTCTTTGAGGTCATGAAAATATGAAAGAAAGATTAATCCACAGGCCTGTGGTGATGACTGGAGGCTGGCAGGGATGGTGGCCGGAGCTGGGGCTCCACTGAAGAAGCTGGGCATGGAAATGGAAGATGGGCTACTTGCACCCACTGTAGGATGGGCAGTGAGTTGCGGGAAGATGAAAGGAGACCGTCAATTTCTTCAACTTTGGGTCTTGCTTCCTCCACCATCGCTTGTTGTCCATAAATTTCCACAAAGAATTAACAGTAACCCAGAAATGTGATTCTGAAACCACAGAATCTCACAGTCAGTAGAGAAGCTCTCTTAGCAGAGATTGTTGCTTCTTTTGGTAGTAAATTGGTCTGTGTTCTAATCAGGCTTCAAGGCAGCAGGCAAAACAGGCCCTATACAAAATCACTGGGGAACTCTTCACAAGTACGGAAGCCTGCATGCACACCCCAGACCCCTAGACTGGAAACTCTGGGGGCGAGGCATTGGAAATTGTACAAAGCCCCCCCAGGTAGTGGTAGCATCGAGAGCTACTACTTTAGTTCACAGTCAACAACAGCAAGCCATGTTTTTCCCCCCTAAATGCACTTAGCAATAGTTGTTTTTTTTTTTAATTCATTCAAATAATTCTTCAGTGTTTTGGAAGGCATTATGAGGTGATGCTCTAACAGAAGCATCTTTTTTTTTTTTTATAGAGGCATGCTTTATTTATTTGTTTGTTTGTTTGTTTGTTTGTTTTTTGTTTATACATGCACTGGGTACAGTCAGAAGCGCGGGAGGGTGAGAGAATTCACCAGAGCCAGAGCGGGGAGCAGAGCAGGCAGAAGGACCGAAGTACACTGCTGAGGGGAGCAGCGGGCGGCAGGAGAGGTCTGCACGCCATGTGGGACCCTCCTCCGGTGGCCGGGAAGCAGCCGGGGATCGAACCGGCGCCGCAGAGGCCACGGGCAGCTTTGCAACCCAGCGCTCAACCGCTGCGCCACCGGGGAGGCCCTCTCCACCACTTCTAATCCGTGTTTTAAACAGTTTGTAGGGCGGCCCTGCCCAGGGTCCCTGCTCTTAAGCAAGAAGCTGGTTACAACAGAAATGTCACTTGACCAGCAAGAAAGCTCTTAGTGGACAGATGTGAAAGCCTCTGCCAAAGAGAAGGATGATGCCAGTTCAACTAAAGAAATCTGACCCTAAAATCTGATGCAAAAAAAAGGAAATCAACTGGATGATAACGAGAACCAACTAAGAAGACAGACGCTGAGGGGGTATCACATCCAGATTTGCTTTAAGCCCTGATGGATGACTATTTCGGAATCCTCTCAGATACTTGCCTGCCTCATTTGTCCTTACAGCAGCCCCCACCCCCGTGAGGCAGAAGGAGTGAGCCCCGATTTTTTGCAACCAGCCAATGGAGCCCAGCACACGGGGTGAGTGCCCCAAGATCACCCTGCAGACTCACAAAGCAAAGTGAGGGGCCATATCTTAGCTGACCCAGATAGCAGGTTGACCTGAAAGCCCCAAATGTGGGTAGGGGCTTCCTGAGTTGCACCTTCTGGAAAGGTACTTACGGTGTGCCCGGCGGAGCTGAATGGACTTAAAAATACCCGTGTTTTTTAGTCTCTGGAACAGCCACTCATGCGTCACCCCTGCCAGGAGCTTGGCAAAGTCGTCAGGCCGCAGGGTACGCGCCTCGAGGATCTCCTGCCTCACTGTTTTTGGCAGTGAGACAAAACAATAGTTGCTGGAGTTGAGAAGGGACCAGGGGTTGTCCGCCTCAGAAGAACTGCTGGAAAATGCAGATTTCAGGCCCCAGGATGAAGAGGACGAGCTGGAGTTCTGGCCGCAGTTGAACAAGTTTGCAGGCTTGCTGCCCTCCTCTGTGGTAGCGCAATCCTCGTTGACGGCTGGGAAGGAACCAGGGGTTGCAGGCCCCAGGCCCAGTGGTGGCCTAAGAGCCCAGTGAGAGCTGCATGGACCTGAGGAGTGGACATCTGTGGTGTCGAGTGCATGGCCCTCCTCATCCACTGTGGGAGCATCAGGGTCCACACCCGGCTCTTTGGCCGAGATGCTGCTTTCTTTCGAGGCAGGATTTTGAACAGGCCATCGAGGAAGGACAGAGCCACCTGCTCTCCCGGAACTTTTGCCCAGAGAAGTGTCTGTGACTATTTGAGACTCGAAGGGCACTTCCACAATGCTCTCTGCTGTTTCTCCTTCTGGGTCGACCCAGGAGGGGTGGTCTCTGAACGTGGGGCCTGTGCCTCTTTTATCGATCTTTGAGTCTCTCTTCTCTTCTCCACGCCCACCTGTGGCATCATCGTCGGTTTCTGGAAACTCATCAATTAACTCAAAGGTTTCTTCTTGGAGTGGCGGACATGTGGCCACATGCTTGGGCCACATGGAATCAGGAGACCGAGAGGCAGAACCACACCTGGGTCTGGGATGAGCAAGAGTCTTTCTGGATCCCCTAACTCTTGCTTCCTGCTTGCCTTCTGGAGCTGCAGCTACCGGCCCTGCCCCAGAGGCTACAGAAGTGTCTGCTGTGTTATGAGGAGGAGTGTGGACACCCCTGGGCATGTGTGAGTGTAGCGGGCCCTGAGAAGATGTGGTGTCAACATCCTTGCACATCTGGAGAGACAGCCCCTGCAGGTCTGAACACAAGGACGGAGGGGATCTACTCTTCCCGTCACCCTGCAGCTCCTCAGAGGGCGCCGTGGAACACTGGTTGTCCAAGAGATGCTCCCCGGGGCTAGACTCTTCCCGGACTGAATGGCCCTCCAGGTGCCCACTCACTTCCTCCCAGCTGGTCGAAGAACTGAGCCCGGACAACCTGTTCCAGGAACCAGAGCTCTGGCTGTCACTCAGAGGTGTGCCCAGAACGGCACCCCCACCATCACCGTGGTCCGAGGACCCTGCGTCCACCTCTGCGGCTTGATCCGAGGACACTCGGAGAGCCTGGGAATGGGTCCGGCTTCTCCTGCCGGCCCTTCCGAGTTCCTCCTGGGCGCCCTCGACCCTTTGGGAGGAAGATCCTCCCTCATCTCTTGGGAGATGTGCTCTGTCTTCGGCTGTATTCACTGTATCTGCGTTTTTTGTTTCCGTTTTTAGAGCGGTGATACAGACACCCGCTTTTGAAGCTTTCTGTTTATTTCTGTTGTTTCCACAAGTGCTTTCGAATTCTTTGCACACGGCAGTGTGGTGCTGGGAATAGGCTTGGAGGACTTCCTGGAAATCCACTCGCCCATGCAAGATGAGTTCATCCAACCGGCACTGGAAACCCTCTGGCACATAAGACTTGTCATCGAGATTCGAGAAGCTCTGGACTTGCAAGTGCTCCTTCACCCTGCCCACCACAGACATGATCTCCCGCGAGAGGGCTTCCTTCTCCTGACTGTCAGAGAAAGTGCTGAAGGCATACAGCTTCTCCAATGCCTCGCCACAGAGCCGACTGGCCACCCGCACCGGCTCTGGCTCCCCGAAGAGCCGCCGGTGCACCGTGGCGAGACCGAACGCAGCTTTGAGGAAGCTGTGAAGCTCCTGCTTTCCAGTAACCAGCTCATCCCGTCTCTTGGTGAGGAGGCCAATCTCAAAGGCCTCTTTGGCTTCACACAGGTAGGAATTTTTCATTCCTGGAGGACAGTCCTTAGAATTACTGTACGACAGCAAGCATGTGCCACGGATGTTCTGCAGAAGGAACGAAAGGCAAAGTCAGGCACTGAAATGGAACTGGCTGTGAGCCAAGCAGGACTTCTCATTGCAAACGAGTCACTGTCTATATTGGAGGACAAGAAGCAGGTGGCGAGGCTATTCAGAGGAAAACACACCACCAGAGCCGCAGACCCTGGGCTCTTCTTGGCTGATCAGGAGGGACTGGGCCACACACGATGGGGTGATGTGGAGGGAGGAGAAATTAGCTTTGACTCTTTTCTTTCTGTAGCATCAAACTTTTGATTCAAGATGATCAATTTGTTGTTGCTGTTGTTAGTTTTAGCAAACACAGTCTATGTGGGGTTGTGGATATAATAAATCTGTGTGCAAACAAGGCAGCCATACATCAGCACCCTATTCATTTAATAATTGTCAAAAATAATAGAATAATGACTTCCAACCTCTATGGGTATTAGGATGACCTGGGCAGTATTTAAACACTTAAAGGGGCCTCCCTGATGACTCAAGGGGTTAAGTCTCAGTACTACCAAGCTATCGGCAGCCACTTCAGCATGAGTTCGATCCCCCACCAAGGAGGTGACCCACATGGCGCAGCAGACCTCTCCTGTCTCTCCTGCTGCTCCCCTCAGCAGCGTATTTCAGTCAATCCGCCTGTTATGCTCCCAACTCTGTCTCTGGTGAATCTGCCCACCCCCATACTTCTGGCCTACACCGCAGTTCTTATATGCATAAATAAATAAAATAAATCTTAAAATAAACATTTAAAGGTATCTGGGGACCAGGCCCATGAATACAGTCACAATTGTGCACAGATGTCGGCAAACCCAACGATAGCCCCTTCCCTCCTACTGGTTCCATGATGGGGGGGGCGTGGCTGCTCCGTTACCATAGCTGTGAGCACGAAGAGGGGTGTGTAGGGGCTGAAGGCAGCCGCCAGCTTGCAGGCTTCTGCAGCTGACAGCAAATGGTGGTGCATCTCTGTCAGCAAACCCTGTGAACAAAAAGGAGGCCGGTGAGGTGTGGGGAATTGCTGATCCACTAGTGAAGGGCAGACTGTGAAACTCCTTTGCTTTTCTTTCAAGATTCTGAGGGACATCTGCCCTTATTATCGATTCTGAGTGATGCCTGGGAAGAGTGAGCAGGTCAGAAGACGCCAAGGGGCTGACCACCCATGGCCCCAAGACCCAAAAGCCATCCAGCCCACCCCACCCCAGAGAGGGTCTAATGAGCACAAATCAATCCAGACAAACTTCCGTGGAGGACCACATCAATCCTTTGTTTCCGGAAAATGTACGTTTTGCAACCAGATAAACAGATGATTTCCACATTGTTCTTAGCAAAGGGTTCTTTAACTTACAATTTCAATCCAATTAAGATTCATTTTTTCATTCCAGAAGCCTGTACTGAGCATCCCTACCTGCGAGGAGAGCAGTTCATTGTGGGTGCTAATTGCTCAAAGACCTAGTTTATGCTCCCGGTTCTCTCTTATCTGGTTGTATAAGCTGAGGTCACCTAGTTTCTCAGGACCTCAGTTTATTTTTCTTCAAAAGGGAGATGATATATTTTGCTCTACCTACCTCACAGGATTTTACGTGTATCAATATTTACACACACACACACACACACACACACAGTTTTTGAATTGTAAAGCAACACATAAATATTAGTAATAATTATTATTAAGGATAAGAACTTGGAATAAGTGACTGATAGTCCAACTTGAACAGACTGTGATTATAGTTTTAAATTTATCACCCCATCATTTTATCATTGAGATGGCCCAAGTGTGTCAACCAATATTGGGATAATTGGAAAGGAAACAAGTTGGGTTTGAAACCTTTATCCTCAGTTTGATGACATTTGTTCATTCAGTAGCCTTTTTTAGGCCTAACACAGCTATTTATCAAGCATGAGAAAACTACTGAAGCTTAAAATTTGGAAATCTATTTAGGCTATTTACCAGAAATGCATACAAGTAAATACTTCTACATTGCTCATTTTTTTGAGCACCCTCTGTATGTCGGTCCTGTGCTGCGTTCGGGGATAATGAAGCCAAGGAGGACACCATGGGATTGTTCTAAGCTTGCTCACTTCACTCTCAGTGAAGTCCAGGATAGACAAAGCTTGATAGATCTGCCGCCTAGAATAACATTGACAGCTTGGTAGGGGAGCCAATTTGTACCATGGTATTACGAGGGATAATTACCATGTTGATTTGTGGATTGTTTTTAAACTTCTCATAATCTTTCCTGCTCATGGAAACAAAGATGTCTGCCAGTATTCCTAGTGACATGGAGATTCCCTGTAAGGAAAGACAGACAAAACATGGATTGGGAATTCACAATCATTGCTGCGATATCATGGCCTAATGGCAAAATTTAGCCCTCTGTGGACCATTGCTTATTATTATCATTGTTAGTATCGTTGTTGTTATTGTGACACTGAGGATACTTTAAAACTAGATGCCCCAGGGCTCACAGACCATCACATCTGAGACACGGACCTCATGAAACACAGCAACTTAGTTGGCCCTGCTGGACAGCCAACAAACACTGCATTGCCACACTGGTAGGCCTGAAGGGTCAGCCCAGCAAGAGTGGCCACAGTTCATCCTACCCATGTTGTAAAAGGAAGACAGGCAGCCCTGCTGTTGACACAGCTCTGGGAAATGTGATAACTTGATGCTTCAGTCAAGGAGGAGAATATCCCCACACATTTACAGAGAATAAGAAAATGATGCTACATAAACAATTCACTGAAGCCTCTGCCCACTCAACTCAAGGAAAATGATTTTACATATAAGTAAGTTGGTCATTTCAATTTCACTATGGAATCAGGGAACGGCTAAGTATATAATAAAAAGGACAAGAGGTTCAGTAGAAATAAGCATAAAAGCAGATGGTTACAAATAACTATAGGAACACTAAATATCTTCCAGGAGTCTATGAGTGAGGCCAGGGCAATATGCAGAAAGAGTTAACCAAATGCTCCTGGTTTTATGCTCATATTGAATCAATAAAAATCAGGCCAAGCCTTCCCTGGTGGCGAAGCCGGTTGAGCGCAGTGCTGTGAAGCTGTCCGCAGCCTCTGCAGCACGGGTAAGATTCCCGGCTGGCCAGGGAGATACCCATATGGGGCGGCAGACCTCTCCTGTCTTGCCCGCTGCTCCCCTCAGCAGTGTACTTCGGTCCTTCTGCCTGTTCTGCAACCTGCTCTGTCTCTGGTGAATTCTCTCACCATCCTGTGCCTCTTGTATAAATAAAAAAAAAATCTTTAAAAAATAAATAAAAATAAAAATCAGGCCAATAAAATTGATAAATGGTGAACTGAACTTGTGCTATTGTAGAAAAGTATCCAAAGACAAAGATAGGAAAGGAGAAAGACAGCACTAGAGAAGCATACAACCTTTTTATCTGGCAGAGGAAGGGTTAAATATCCGATAATGGAGGCCCAGATTAACTCTGCTGCTTCATACCACATCCCTAGGGGAAAAAAAAAGGTTGGGGGAGAATAGGTGACTTGTATCTGCTTTTGGGTTAGAAAATACCTCAAATACATTGAATGCAGTTAGGGAAGCTTAAGGCTGGGCTAGACAGGCAGCACTTGCTGGCTTAATACAGATAATGTTCCCTGTCCCAGGGAGACGGTCAGAACCCTTCTCTATGACATGTAACACATACTAATATAGAAATAACGAACTCCATTATTGAAACAAGAACAGAAATTAGCAGCCTCTGTTCATTTTCAAATACTTTAGTTTGCACGGTTTTATACTCATTGCTGGAAAAACTTGTGAGCATCCTGGGGGGATGAGGGTGGATTTACAATGAGGTGTCACTGCGTGGCAGCTGACTCAACAGAGTCAGAAACTAAGCAATACTGAGAACCGTAAAGCAACAGCCCCAATGCACAACTACAAATTTCTGCAACAAAACTCAAGAGAACAATATTTGTTTCATTAATATTCCTAAAACTCCTGCATGAGGAAATGAATGGACAACGTTAAGCAGCTATAACATGAAAATTCTCAGTACATCTGGTAGACAGACTGTGGAAACCAGCCTGGTGGAGTAGGTGCCGGCGGCCATACCCAGCTTTTGCAGGATTTGCCCTCGGATCTGTATACACACCGACTGCACCAGGATCTTGTCACTTTCATTTCTGTACAACCAGGTACCTAGAATAAAAGGAGGGGGCAAGGAAAGCATGTTTGGCCTTGTATGACTGCAGAAATAGTCTGGGGCCTCCCTGGTGGCTCAAGGGGTTAAGACACAGCACTATAAAGCTATCCTCAGCCACTGCAGCACGAGTTTGATCCCTGGCCAGGGAGCTACCCCCATGGCATAGCAGACTTCTCTGGACTCGCCCGCTGCTCCCCTTAGCAGTGGATTTCAGTCAGTCTGCCTATTCTGTTCCCCACTCTGTCTCTGGTGAATCCTCTTACCCTCCCGCACCTCTGACCTGTACCCCAGCTCTTGTATAAATAAATAAAAAAATCTTAAAAAAAAAGATTTATTTATTTATGCATATAAGAACTGGGGTACAGGCCCACCCCTCAGGCAAGATAGCTGAAAGCTTAAATTATGTGTTACTCAACTACAGGACTAGCTTCCTTTCAAGTATGATTAAAGACTGAAAGAAAATCAATTTGAACATAGTTTTTATTAGATTTCTTATGCAGCAAAATCAACTTTATTTCCCAACAAGCATCTCTGTCTGAACCTTAGAGGGTTTATTCCCAATCATGATTCTTCTAAGGCAGGTGCTGAGCCCTTCTTGAGGCCCATCAAGTCACCTGCATTAATAGTGTTTGTTCTTTAGGTAACACTCTCCAATGAAGCAGGGAAATAGTAGCAACTTTGTGTTTTTGGTTTTTTAACAAGAGAAAACAGATACCCAGAGAAGTAAGTGCCTTGACCACAGCCACTTTCCTCCATCAGTGTTAGAACCCACCCTGGCTAGCTCTGGGAATAGCTGGACTACAGTAACTAGGAGGCTATGTATTCATTTTTTTGACAGGACATTATTTTAATCAGCTATGAAAGATGAGAATTGCTGTATGTATTTTTTTAAAAGATTGATTTATTTATGCACAGACTGACTGGGGTATAGGCCAGAGGTGCAGGGGGTGCGAGGATTCACCAGGGACTGTGTGGGGAACAGAACAGGCAGACTGACTGAAATACACTGCTGAGGGGAGCAGCAGGAGAGACAGGAGAGGTCTGCTGCGCCATGGGGGGTCAGCTCCCTGGTCAGGGATCAAGCTCAGGCCTTAGCAGTGACAGCACTGAGACTCCTCGGCCACCAGGGCGGACCCCTCACAAGTTGTTTTTAAACTGTAATCCCAGTAGCGTCTGAGGGCAAAGGTGATTGCGAAGACTTGAAAGTGCCTTACCTGTGGCTCCACTGTTGCTTATCAGACTGCTCAGGATATACTCTGCTTTTAAAAGTTTTCCTGTAGAGAAGCAACCAAATGCCACACAATTACTTTGGAGAGTGTTCTTTATATACTGCTAGTAATTCGTGACAAATTACAATAAGGGCTATAACCAAAGAGAATTCTATTTTAAAATTAATAGCTACATCGTATATGAATGAGAAAGATGATGGTTTCAGCAGTCGGTCAGGTGGGCCATGGGTCAGATCTCAGTATCTGAGATGGATTAGATTCATAGAGATAGATGAGAGACGTACAGAATCCACTCATGACAACAGGACTTGGGAAAGGAACATCAATCTTTGTAAAACAAGTTGTCTTCTTTTGAGCCCTCTTACACTGCTGGTGGGAATGTAAACTGGTCTAGCCACTATGGAAAGCTCTCTGGAGGACCCTCAAATTACTAAAAATGGAGCTACCACAGGACCCAGCAATTCCACTCCTAAGAATCTATCTGAAGGAAACAAAAACATTAATTTGAAAGGAAACCTGAACTCCTATGTTTACTGCAGCACTGTTTACAATAGCTAAGCTTTGGAAACAACCCAAATGCCCCAAAATAGATGAATGGATCAAGAAGATGTGGTATATTTGCACAATGGAATACTACTCATGCTCAGCCATCAAAAAACAACAAAAAACAAATTTGGATGGAACTGAAAGGGATATTACTCAGTGATATGTCAGAGGGAGAAAGATAAATATCAGATGTTTTCACTTATATGAGGAATATAGGTAAACCAAAGGTCAAGAAAAAGTCAAAACTAGCTCACTGACCATAGATCTGAGGCCTACAGCAAGGGGTGGGGTGTGAAAACAGGGGAAGGAAGAACACAAGGGACTCTGGTGATGGTTGACAGGTGATATGGTGTCTGGGGAACAATGGGGACTACACCTGAAGAGAGAAACCAATTATGTACAAAAATGAACAATGATGTAAGAAAACAAAACTATTCCCACCAGGTAATGATGCCAAACTGACTTCCTAGAGGTGGGACTAATGTATGTTAAAAAAAAAAAAAAGGCAATCAATAGAAAAAGAAAAAGAGAGGGGAAAAAGTTGTCTCCTTTCTGGAAAAGCTGTTGTATTCAAGAAGTGTAATAGAGTCGCCCTTCAACTGGATTATTTACAGAATTATCAGGAAGATATTGAGGGGAAGTATAGAGAGATTTTCTTTAAACATTTTTTTACCTTTGATTGCTAAGACGTGGGAAACTCATTCATTCATCTTTCCACCCACCCCTTCTTCAAGGAGCCTCTAAGCTCTGCATGGTCTGGGTCTTATTTAACTTCATCTCCCAAACTTCTTTTCCTTACTCTTACTCTCTCTAGTTACTGATCCTTGAACCTGCCAGTCTTGTTCCCACATCATGGTTTTTCATAACTCACAATTATTTTAGTTTGGAATGTTTTTATCCTAAATTTCTCCAAGGCATTCTCTTTTTTTCAGGCCCTTGCTCAAGCATCACTGTCTCAAAGCCTTCCCTAACCACCCTATTTCAAATTGCAAACACAGACATACACTCTGACTGTGTTTCCAAAGAAGGTCATGGCAATCTCTTCCATCTCATATGCTCTTTTGCAACGTGATCTTGCCATTTTTCATCAAGAAGTGGAATGTGGGGCTTTCTTTCCCTTCTCCTTGAATCTGAACTGGCCCACGGCATGTTTTGACCTATGGAATGTGGCTGAAGTGACACACTGAACTGCATCTTGGTCACCTTTATAACTATCCCCAAGGCTCACAAAAATCCACTTTTAGCAGGCTTTCAACATAGATTTGTCAAGAAAAGAAAACTAGTATCTGAAATTATGGGTTAGGGTCTCTAATAAAATTCATCCATACTAATGTACTTACCAGGGCAATAACATAAAATACCTGTTCAATACATGTTATATCAAAGCATCCTCTCTTCTTAAAAGCTCTATTTTCCAATTAGGTTTTGCTGGATATACAAAGGCATTTAAAATATCTCTTCTAAAATCTGTATTTCTCAAAGATTTCTATGTGGGCAGTCATATTGTCTACAAGTCATGACATTTTGTTCATTCATTTTTAATCTTTCTACTTCTATTTTCTTTTTCTTTTCTTATTGCAATGGGAGGGTCCCCAGGTTGGTATTCAATAGAAGTGGTACAAGATGCAATTTTTTTCTTGACTTGAATTTAAAAGAAATACTTCTAATTTTATTTTTAAGATTTATTGTATTTATTTATGCATACAAGAGCTGGGGTACATGCCAGAGCGGGGTGAGAGGATTCACCAGAGAGAGTGGGGAGTAGAACAGGCAGATAGACTGAAGTACACTGCTGGGGGGAGCACCAGGCAAGTCAGGAGAGGGCTGCTATGCCATGTGGGTCAGCTCCCTGGCCAGCTGGGGATCGAACTTGTGCTGCAGAAGCTGCGGATAGCTTCACAGTGCTGTGCTTAACCTCCTGCACCACCAGAGAGGCCCTGAGAGTTATCCTTGAGGGTTCCCTTTACCTGCTACTTCCCAATCCCTCATTAATCCCCTGATGTAGTTCATAATTCTTCATAGTCAGCCTCTATTGTTCATATTACTGTGTGGTTGCTGTCTCCTGATTGAACCTAACCTAACTCTGGGACCTCCAACCAGATCTTGTGCAGAGAGCAAGCTTCCTCACCCCTTCTCTGGGGGCTGGTAGAGTTACTGAGTCCCCTTCCACAGCCTGCAAAAACCTTCAAGATCTGACTAAATGAAATATTTCACTCTTCACACAGGGCCAGGGTTCTGTCTCAACAGTCCCTTCTGTGGGGAATACATCTGAGTGACCCTCCGGTTGCAGTGTGGAGAACACAAGTCCACTGTTCTGACTGTGAACAGATCCTCTGTTTCAGGCTCTGAAAAAACATACTGGATTCAGGGCCTCCCTGGTGGCACAGGGGATAAAGACAGCACTATCAAGCTATGGCCAGCCGCGGCAGCATGAGTTCGATTCCCTGGCTGGCCAGGGAGGTGACATGGTGCAGCAGACCTCTCCTGTCTCGCCCGCTGCTCCCCTCAGCAGTGTATTTCAGTCAGTCTGCCTGTTTTGCTCCCCACTCTGTCTCTGGTGAGTCCTCTCATGCTCTACATCTCTGACCTGTACCCTATTCTTGTATGCATAAATAAATCTTTAAAAAAAAATACTGAATTCGCCATATTTGTGAAATGGAGAAGGTTCTGCACTATCCATTCCTCTGTGGACAGAAGTGGGTTCTGAACTTTGTCTCTATGCCACAAAGGCTGAGTCTCCTAAATATGTTAATCTCTTGGTTTTAGGCAAGAGTGAGTCCTCTTTTGCCTCTGAAGTCCCACTCTGCTGGATGTTTTAGAATGTACTGTGGGTAGATACCAAGAGAGGGGGATCAAGGGTGACAGAGGAAGACTGCAGTGCCCCCTCAAATTACCGTTAGTCCTCCCTCTTTGCCTCTTAAAAGGTCACATAACCCTTTCCTTTCTCCATGTCTGCATGCCTAAACCTGGGAATTGAGACCCCTTGCCACTGTCCCTGCCTCTCTTACCAAGAGATCACTCCTACTCTAAGTCCCTGCAGGATCAGCCTCCCCAGAAATGTTCAGAGCAGGCTTTTTCCAACATGCGTCATCTTGGTATGTGTTGCTAAGGTTAACCGAGGCCCTGAGGTTCAAGAGAAAGTGCTTCCATTACCTTAAAGAATGAAGAGTACGCAGGTTTAGGGTAATCTCCAGAAATAATCTTTTTATCGGAGCAACCTATCTTAAGGCAGGGCGCACAACCAGAAGCAGGATTTGTCATATTCAGTCATTCCTTCCTTGTGATGTGAGATTCCACACCCACCCACCCCTTGATGCCCCAGGCCCCTACGCCATTCCTTCACTCAGGACATACACTTTCAGGTTGTCATATTTACTCTAGAATTTAGAGCCATGTAAATTCTGCACATGTTGTAATTAAATTTGGTATTTTTTCTCCTGATAATTTGCCTGATGTTACTTTGTTTGCTTGAGTAGCCCCACAAGAACACAGAGGGGTAGGGGTACGTTCCCCTGTGCCCTGACACCCCTGTCTCTCCTAGTATGGGTATAGGCTCAAGTGATGTTTGGGAGTAGCTTCATGTGAGGCTGTGTTTATATGTGGCACTTCTGGAAGTGTCTCTGAGATACAAAACCCCCAACTGTCAGGGAATAAAGTATCTTTGTCTTAGACTTGATGTAAATATAATACATGAGCAAAGGCATGGACTGTTCATGGTGATGTCAGGGCTCAGTCATTATCAGGAGAAAAACTCTAGACCACGTTGTTGGGGATGTGAGAGAAAGGACAGCAAATAAAGAAGCAAAAAGCTTAAAAAGTGTAGTCTGGCTGCACTCCTGTGTTCACTGCAGCACCGTGCACTCTAGTCAAGGCATGGAAACCACCTAAATGTCCAAGGACAGATGAGTGGATTCAGAAGATGAGGCATATAGACCCAATGGAATACTACACAGTCACAGAAAATGACAAAACCTTGCCACTGGCGACAACATGGAAGGGAATAATGGTAAGTGAAGTAAGTCAGAAGAAGAATGACAAGTATCAAATGATTTCATATGTAGAATATAAAAAAAGCCACAAGAACAAACTTTTACAAACCAAAATAACCCAACACATATGACTTAGAACTGAGGCTATCAGGGGAGCACAGGGGTGAGGAAGATGGAGGATCATGGGTGCCTCGGTGGTGGGTGGGGTGGTGACATGCACCTGAAGAGCTATGAACCTCCACCTCTGAATACTATACAGTGATGAAAACCAACATTACCTCAATCCAAAAAATAATACAATTAAAAAAATAAAATTAGTCTGGCTGTGTGCAGCAAAGCTATCCACACGCTTCCATTTGACCTCAATTTCCATCTCACACCATAACTGTTCTGCAGATCATAAAAGATGCTGCACCAGCTCTGCTCGAAGTGCTCCCTGATGAGAACCAGAATTAGCCCCCTCACCCCACTGCCACGGAACACCCCACTAACCCCTGCGCACCACGGAACAGTCCACTCACCACCAACGCCCTCTGGTGCCACAGGAAGGAACTGCAGTTCTCAGGATCCCCCTGCGACCCCCAATACAAACCCCAGGGCTTCATAAAATGTCCCAAATTGAGGTCATTTGAAGGCAGAATTTTTCCCTCAGTTCAGCTCTGTCCCGGCGGTTACCCCAGAAAAGTAAAAGATGCGGGCACAATTCACGCATGTCTGCCAGGCCTGCTGTGATTAGACTTGGTGTTTGAAGAGTAGACGAGCGCCAAGACCATGTTTACCAATTTCGCATATCTCTGTCCTCTCTGCACTCAGCCACTGTTCCTCTGAGTGTAGTTAGTCCGGTGCCTTTGCAAACCAAATGAAGTAAAGACGTCTTAACCTCTTCAAGACCAGAGTTATTAGCAGTCACAGAGTGAATGCCAACCAAACACAGCTAGTCTGTTTGGGGAGTGAGGCCTTGCCTCCTATTTTTCTCCTCGATTCTTTCACTTTTTTTGTTAAAGATTTATTTATTTATGCATACAAGAGCTGGGGCACAGGCCAGAGATGCGGGGGTGAGAGGATTCACCAGAGACAGAGCGGGGAACAGAGCAGGCAGACTGAGTGAAATACACAGCTGAGGGGAGCAGCGGGCGAGGCAGGAGAGGTCTGCCGTGCCTTGTGGGTAGCTTCCTGGCTGGCCAGGGAATCGAACTTGTGCTGCAGAGGCTGTGGATTGCTTCATAGTGCAGTACTTAACCCCTTGCGCCACCAGGAAGGCCCTGATTCTTTCACTTTTAGAAATAACTAGAACAGGTGACATGATTCTCAGCCTCGTCATCACCAGTCATTTAAATAATTCAAGCATTCTGTGGACATGGACTTTGCAGTCACCCAGAGCATGGCCGCCTCCCCTCCCCGCACACACATCCCCTCCTGAGTTGGAATGTCAGTCTCATTTTTCATTTCATTCAAAGTGACAGAAGAAGAAGAAAAAGATACTCTGAGGCCTAATCAGGTACTGTACCGGTGTTCTGAGGGATGGAAAAAAACCCTCAAATTACTTCAGGGGGTTTGTCAGCTCTATTGTCAGCATAGTCAAGTGGCCCTACAGAAAGGAGCCAGGAGCGCTAAGAGAAAATAGCAGAATTCTAATCTGCTTTTTAAAGGCCCTTGGGCCCAAGTATAGCAATTCAGATATCCCTGTTTGAAAGCAGCAGGGCAGATTTGTTAGAAGACAAAAGCTCCAATTAGTATTTTCCACACCCTTTCACAATTTTCTCTACTGCTTTTGGCTCTGAAACCCTTTATGCCGGAGCCTTTGTGCTGGCAAGAGGCGGGTGGAAGGGCATGGCGGGCCTGGGCGGGAGCTGGTGCTTGAAAAGAGGGCCCTTGGCCCGGGTGCCCGCGTTCTCCCGCCGAAGTCAAGTAGGCAGAGGGAGTGCGGGCACCAGACCCCCAGACGCGGGCGGCAAGGCTGGCAGGGGTCCTACCTGCGTGCACTGAGACGCGCGCCTGGCGAATGACCACCTGCGGGGCGATGGGCGTCGCGGGCCGGAGCCGGTGCAGGCCTCTGGCCACCTGCAGGAGCGGGCCCGATGCGTCGAGGCCATACAGGAACCGGTCAGTCACGAAGACAATGGCTGCGGCCGTGGCGCAGTCCCCAGCCAGGATGGAGGCCCTCAGGGATGCCTGCGGGAACATCCAGGAAACACGATGAGTGGAGGGGAAAGAAGCAGTTCTGGAAGCAAGTTTAGTCCTGCAGGTGTTTTTACTAAAGCAGGAACAAGACCCAGAGCTAGGAGAAGCCCTATACTCTGTTGGCTAACTGAACCCCAAGATAAAGAAGATGGAGAGGAACCCCAATGTGGGATAAAGCAGTATTTGATGCCTTCTCTTCCCCATTATATTTTGAACAGTATACAGAAGATAAATGCACATGTCCTGTAAGCAGGGCCGCCTGGTGGCCCAGCGGGTTGAGCGCTGTGCTGTGAAGCTGTCCGCAGCCTCTGCAGAGCAGGTTCGATTCCAGTCGGTGGTGAGATACCCACATGGCGCGGCAGACCTCTCCTGTCGCGCCTGCTGCTCCCCTCAGCAGTGGCTTCCGTCCATCTGCCTGTTCTGTTCCCCGCTCTGTCTCTGATGAATCCTCTCACCCTCCTGCACCTCTGGCCTGTACCCCAGTTCTTGCATAAATAAATAAATCTTAAAAAAAAATTTAAAAAAATAAAAAATTCAAGTAACACTGAGAGAAATGAGAAGTGCCCCTAGTTACCGTCTTCCTTCTCCCCCTCCTCCATTTTATTCCTACTGTTCTTGACAATGGCTTCCTAGAGGTCCTTCTAGATTCTTCTACCTTTTTATGGATTGTTAGATTCCTTGTCTTCCCTCTCCTCCTGGCTTTCTCCTTTCCCCTCCCTCTCTCTTCTTCTCTTTCCTCTTCCCTTCCACCCCCCTTCTCCCTTCCACCTCCCCTCACTCTATCTTTTTTTTTTTTAATAGAGGCATGCTTTATTTATTTATCTGTTTGTTTGTTTGTTTGTTTTGTTTATACATGCACTGGGCACAGTCAGAAGCGCGGGAGGGTGAGAGAATTCACCAGAGCCAGAGCGGGGAGCAGAGCAGGCAGAAGGACCGAAGTACACTGCTGAGGGGAGCAGCGGGCGGCAGGAGAGGTCTGCACGCCTGGTGGGACCCTCCTCCGGTGGCCGGGGAGCAGCCGGGGATCGAACCGGCGCCGCAGAGGCCGCGGGCAGCTTCGCAACCCAGCGCTCAACCGCTGCGCCACCGGGGAGGCCCCCCTCACTCTTTCTTAAATGAGATTACACTAGACATTGTTCTGCTGTGTGGTTCTCTCCATCATCATAACATCTAGGGGAGCTCTTCAAACCAATTCATGACACCCCACCTCATTTACTGCCTGCATTGCAAATGAGGAAGAAATACAGAATTTATTATTTTTAAAAAAAATTTTTATTTATTTTTAAAATTTTTTTTAAAGATTTATTTATGCAAGAATCAGGGTACAGGCCACATGCGCTGGAGGGTGAGAGGATTCGCCAGAGACAGAGCAGGGAACAGAACAGGCAGAATGACCTAAGGCACAGCTGAGGGGAGCAGTGGGAGAGACAGGAGAGGTCTGCCGTGCCATGTGGGTAGCTCCCTGGCCGGTCGGGATCAAACCCGCGCTGCAGAGGCTGCGGACAGCTTCACAAAGCTGAGCTCAACCTGCTGCACCACTGGGGAGGCCCAATACAGAATTTAAGCCAACCCTGTGAATTTTATTTATATGATCGTGTTGAGTGATGACTAAGAGAAAGAAAGAAGAAAACAGGTCTGAATCGAAAGTGTAACAAAGAATGAGAAATAGAGCTAAATGGGGCAAGCTGTTATGGGAAGATATTATTTTTTGGTCTCTATATACTCAAGACATTCAGAGTCACGCAGCTAATAGCATGGATGACTTTGCCACTCAATAGCACTCTTTCCAGCTGCTAAACTAAATCCAGCTGTTTTTCCGGTCACACTCACACACATCGGGAGTCTGGAAAGCCTTGTAAGCAATGCCCATTTTTCTACGAGGTTACCATGCAAAGCACTGCCTTCTTCATCCCATAACCTTAAGGACTAACATTTACTGGGCAACGCTAGGTGCCAGGTACAGTGCTAAGTGCTTGCCGGGCATTTATTTATGCAGGTCTCACAACAGTCTTCAGAGGCTGATTCCATTACTGCCATCCCCACTTTATAAATAGAAACCCCGAGATTCAGAGCTTAAATAACCTGCCCCAGATCACATGACCTGTTGATTCAGAACTGAGATGTGAAGACAGAAAGTCTGGGTCAGATCCCGCATGCTCAAGCCCCATGTCGGGAGGCCTTATCTACAGCAGGAAAACTGGAGATGATGGCTATCAATGATCAGATACCCACAGGTATGTCAGGAAGTCCCACATACGCAGCCAGTGTTCTTGGAGCTGCGGTTCTTAGCCTAGAGCGGGGAGAGGATGCACTCATCTGGGGAGAGAGCTAGCTCAGCTTTTCAAAATCTGCCTGGAACAGTTCTTCTAGAATTTTAATTGGATACCTGCATATGCCTAAGTAAAACTGACCTAAATTGTTACATTTGACCCATTCTAGAATTCTAGCTATGATACTTATTCACATGATTCAATTTCTAGCTCTGTGTGTGTGTGTGTGTGTGAGAGAGAGAGAGAGAGAGAGAGAGAGATGATCTTCAGCACTGCATATAGAACATAATTTTATATTTACAGGCGTTCATCACCAAATGATGACTAACTAGGACAATAATCCTTCTCTTCTCAAAGTGATGCTGTCTTAACATGGGAAGGTTTTTAACTATCACAGTGTTAATTAAGTCTAGAAATGATAATTTGCACTTGGATTTATCCCTTTGTTCTCAGTCTGTGACGGTTCAAGTTATGATTGAGAAGTCATTTTTTTTTAAGGGGTGGATTATTTCTTCTCTCCTCTTGATCTTTCCTGCCAGTAAAGGGAGTTCAATCAGCACTTCTAGCCACTCTCCACCGCTTGCCTGCTGTGTCTACTCAAGGAGCTGGAGGGACTTGCCAGTGACCACACTGGTGAATCCGGGAAGCAGAAGGTGGGCATGTATGGTTTAGCTCTTCTCTTTTCTCTTGGAACAAGCTGTCTACAGGGAACAGATTTTTCTCTTCTAGATCCTAAGACTTATCTAGAAAACTAACTATTCCGTTTTGCCCAGAGATTCCTGTACCTGAATGAAGTCAATAAAATTCTGGGTTTCATCTACCAGAAACCCTCCAACCCCTGCCAATTACGCTGATATGAACTTAGAGTTTCCAACTTAGCCTTAACCAAAATTAAAGATAATATTTAATCTCTTGTCTGATTAACAATCGATTATTGCCTGTGCTCACAACAATCTTAAGAGGCCAAAATCCGTTTCTACAGGAAAGTGGGTCCACAGTCCCAGCCTCTGAAGCTGCCATGTATTTTGACCCCTCTCCCTACCCCATCACCACATTCAAGACTAACCCAGGAATACCCATCTGGTACCTGACCTCATGACCCTGTGGCCTGACTTGCACAAGAGGACCTTATTCATCTGAACTAAGAAACATAGAAAGGACTTGCAGGTTGGTGCTGGATGGAAAGAGGCAGGAAGGAGAGCAGAGCCAGGCTAATACCAGAGTGCGGATCCCAGAATGATGACTCAGTACAAAGCCACCAGTTCATGAGCGCCATTTTTAATTATAGATCCCTTTATTGCCCCAGGTATATCTTCCTAACAACATATATTCCCATTTTATGAGGTTATGTGACTGAGTCTTCTCGTCAAAAAAGAACAAAATAAAAATGCTAACACTGAAATGCTCAAAAGCTCTATGGAGATGGGCCAACTAAACCATCAGTCTGAAAACTATGAGTTTTCAAGTGAGAACAATTCAGTCATCTGTCATTCATAGAATGCAGATTGATTGAAAAGATGGAAAAGAAAACGCATGCTTCTACGTGGGCCTCATTCTGCTTAATAAGGCCAATCTCAGATCAAGATTCCCTCTTCTGCTAGGTGCACATACAGCCAGTGTTTTGTTTGCACCCCCTGCAGTTACCTGCAGAAAATGCAACTTTAGGCACTGCCAGGCTCCCCCAAATTTTAGGTTGGAAAGAGCAACCCTATTCTTGCCACCCTCTCCTGGCACAAAGAGAGGTGAGTCCCAGTATTTATGGTTGCACCGAGGTACAGGCTTAATGTTCATTTTTCTCTCCCTTCTCCTAGGGAACCCCCTTCCATTTGGGGGTGACCACAGTACCCTCTTGGCACAGCAACATTCAGGGGCATCCACTGTGGAGGTTCTTCACCTCTCCTTCCTGATAACAATGGTCTCCACCGGAGAGGCACCATCTAGTTTATGAAAAACATCATACACAGGGCTTCCCTGGTGGCGCAAGGGGTTAAGCACAGAACTATGAAGTTATCTGCAGCCTCTGCAGCATGAGTTCGATCCCCGGCTGGCCAGGGAGCTACCCACTTGGCACAGCAGACCTCTCCTGACTCGCCTGCTGCTCCCCTCAGCAGTGTATTTCAGTTAGTCTGCCTGTTCTGTTCCCGGCTCTGTCTCTGGTGAATCCTCTCACTCCCCGCACCTCTGGCCTGTACCCCAGCTCTTGTATGCATAAATGAATAAAACTTAAAAAAAAAAACATTCGCATACACACAATCTCACTTCCATTTGTATTAACTATAAAATCTAAGGGAAGGATACCGAGGGGGAAGAGTTAAGAGTATTTCCAAAGCCACGGAGTCATAAGGGTCAGGGGCAGGCAGATCAGGTACAAACCATACCACATAAAATTGACCATCTTCACCATTTTTAAATGTAGAACTTTTTCATCTTGAAAATCTGAAACCTTGTATCCATTCAACTCTGGGTCCCTACCCCTCAGTCCCTGGTAACTACCATTTCATTTGTTTCTATGAATTTGGCTGTTCTAGGTATGCCATATAAGTGTTGGTCTGTTTGTGACTAGCTTACTTTACTCAGTGTAATGTCCTCAAGGCTCACCCATGTCACAGCAGGTGACAGAATTTCTTTTCTTTTTAAAGTACTACTCTAAGGTCTTCTATATACTATAATTAGTTTATTGTTTTATCTGTTGTTAGACTTTGGGGTGCTGTAATCTCTTAA